TCAATATCAATCTTTTTTTATGTTTTTTAATTTTTATAGTTAAAATTTAAATTTTAAATTTGAATTTAAAATATAAAAATTAAATAATTAAACACATTGAAAAAATATATTTACATTTTTTGTTCTAATGATATTTTAAAAATTATCGAATAAATATTCTAATGCACATTTATTTAAATTTTCTATACTTATATCTGTTTCAATTAAAAGATACTTTAAAAAAAAAATATTTTATTTTTAACTATATATACAATACTTAAGCATTATTATTTATTTTCTCAAATATTTTTAATTTTTTTTAGTTTGTATATTCATCAATTTCTATACTAACTATTATATTATCATTATATTCTGTAAATATTTGCTTTATTTTATTAAAATAGCTTTAGTTCCATATAATTTAACTATTTAAGTTTTCTTAACTTACTTTTTTAAAAAATAAAAATTTATGTTATTTTTTTATGTTATTAGTATCTATTTTAATATATATACATCTAGCTTTTAAAACTTAAATTCCTTTATTCTATATATTTTAAAAAATTTTAACTTCTCCTATTTAAAAATATAAAATTTAGGTTTTTTTGATGTTATAAATTATAAATTAAGATTAATTACCGAATGCTTTCAATTATTACTAGAAGTTTATAATAAACTTACTCAAAATACATATTTTATACCCTTTAAATAAATATTTGTTTTATAGATTAGAAAATATTATTTTTATAGATTTATGATTGTATAATTACCATTTTTTGATTAAAATTTATTTGTTAAAAATTCGAATTTCTTATCCATTTTTAAATTATATATTTTTTTATTTTTTTCAAATTAAATTAAAGTTAAAAAACTAAATTAATATTACATTACATAAAATTATTATAAAATAATAATGTTTTTTTTTTTTTTTCATAAGATAATCTTAAGAAATTTATAAAATGTTAAACTACATTTTATTAAATGAAAGCAAAAAAATTATATAAATTTTTCTTAAAAAATTATTAATTAAAATATATTTATGTAAGTAAATAAGTATAATTTTTTTTATTAATTTTATGAATTATTTTTAATTGAATAATATTAATTCATCTAAACAAATATGCAGGGGTTATATATTTTTTAATTTGAAAAGTGTTTATAGTTTTCGTTTAAAAAGGAGAGTTGAATTCCAAAATTTTCTTCATTAAAAAATAATATAAGTATATTTGTTTATTATAATAATAATATGAAATTAAATATAAACTTTAAAATTATGTATATTATTATAATTTAAATATTCTATTTTTTTTTACTTTTATTCCTTAATATTTGCTAGTAATTTAAGAAAATTAACTAATTTCCCTAAACGGAGTTCTTTATTTATCAAATTTGTTATAATTAGAACTATTAGAGTTATTTAAAATATATCTAATGTTTTTTGTTCTATTACTACTTATAATTAATCTGCTATTTTTATTCAAATGAATTCCTCCATTTTATTAAATAGCTTCAGGATTTAAATTCTCTTTATTTTCATCAAGGTTAGTAAAAGAATCTAAAGAAGTATTTTCTAAATTAGATTAAAAATCATAAAAATCTTATACTCCCTAATGTTAATTCAAATTATTTCCTTACCCATCAAACTAAACTTCTTATATTTACTTTTCGATTTTTTGTAGTCTCTTTAGAGAAAGAGTGCTTTAGCAAGATGTCCATTGAATTTTGGATTTTTTGACTTTCTAAGGGGTTTTTACTATATTAAAAGCATCATAAATTTATTAAAAACTCATATAATTATAAGACATTTTTTTTTAATATTTATATTATTTTATTTCAAATATTATTTAGATTTTATTAAATTAATAATATATTTATTATAATTTTAGTTAAACACACTATTTTTTGTAATATATTTATATTAAACTTTTAGCATTTTAATGCAATTTATATTTTATTTTTATAATATAATATATGATATATATTAAATATTATTTAAGTATATTATATTCAAAAAATAGTTAGATTTATTATTTAAAATTAAAGAACTTTATAATTATATACTTTTTATTTTTTCGAATAAATATTAGATAAATGAATACATAAATTTTCATTTTAAATTGAATATTATAAAAAGTAATAATTAATATTTAAATTAATTAAATTAAATAAATATTTTATATTGAGTTCAATTTTATTTTATTAAATAATATATTTATAAAATAATATATATTTAAGATATTTAATACAAATGAAATAATTCTTTAAAGGAGTTTTAATTATAAATCATACATAAAACTAAGATAGATTAGATTTTTAATCTTTACAAGAATTAGCCTAAGAAAAAAATTTAATAAAAGATGAAAACGGTATTATATTATTTTATTAAAAATTAAAAAAATAGAATTTAAAGATATTATATAGCAATTAAATGAATTATGTATCTAATTAATCAAATAAAACCCTTAAAGCTTAGATTAATTCAATGAAATTTTAAACTACTATGTAATAAATAATTCGTTTATTACTATAACAAAAATATATATATTAAAAAGGGTTTTAAAGACGAAAAAACCTAAAAAGAAATAAATTAAATTTGGGAGAACGAAAAGGAAGTTGTTTTAGATTACTTATTAAAAAAACTAATAATTTTAGAGTTTTAGAAAAAATAGAATGGTCTTTAAATAATAGATTTTATTCTAAAAAGGCAAAAAATATAAATTAAATGACTACTATTATTGCTCTTAAAGTATATTTTTTTTATACTTAAATAAATATTTAATTTATTTATTAATATATATTATTATATTTTACAAAAGACATAATTATATAATGGGTAAATTCCTAATTTTGTTAGTTTTGAATTAAATTAAGATGAACTAGGATAATTTTATTAAAAAATTAATTAAATAGATGAAGAAATTTGTTAATTACTAAAATGAAAAATAATTTAATTTATATATTTATAGAATTAAATTTAAAAATCTAAAAATCATATTTATATAGACATAATTACTACTTTAATATCTATATATTTTATTTAATAATTATTCTATTTTAAAAATTATTTTTTATAATTTGTTAATATTATTTATCTAATTTAATTATATTTTATTTATAAATCTTAGATTAAAATCTTTAATTGAAAATATCTTTATTTATTGCTTCTAATATATTATTTAGTTGAGATTTAAACATATACATTTAAAGCATATAACATAAAAGTTTTTAAAAACAATAATTTTTATAATTAGGTTAATAAATAATATAGTGATTAATTTCAGGTTTAAGTAAAACATAATTTTAATTATTAAATTATTTTGATGCTTTATATTTTAAATAAAAATATAATAAATATTAAAATTAAAATTAAATAAAATTATTTACAACTATTATATTTATTAATTAGAAAAAATAATTTAATATTAATATAATAAATGGATTAATATAAAATAAATTAAAATAAATTAAAATCAAATCAAATCAAATAAGTTATATATTTAATATTAATTTTAACTTATCAAGTTATATATAAAAATTGTTAAAATATATTATAATATTTATTTCACGTATCAGCTACAATTACTTATTTCATATTCAATTTTCATGTTTTTAGATTAATCTCCTAAATGTTAGAATACTAGTACTGTTAACTAGGATGCTTAATAATTGTTAACTTAAAAATTAATCTTATATAAAATGCCAGCCACGATTTATATTTAAGCTGACAAAATATTTTCTAATTAAATATTTTTATTCAAATTACATTTTTAATGAAAATTTAATTTTGCGAATTCTAATGCATCTTTAAATCCTTATGGTGGATTTTCTAGATTAATATCCCTATAACTACCTAATAAAGGCTTTTTTCTAAAATTTAGACATTTTGTAGAAATAATAAAAATAGAGAATACAGTCATCAATATAATTTTCATTTTATTTTAAAATATTTTTTTTTGTTAATAATAATAATAAAAAAAAATGAAAAATAATATTGTCAAAATTTATATTATTATATAATTTAAACTAATTAAATACAATAATATTAGTTTATAAAACTAAAATAATTATATATATTTATTTTTTATTGATTTATTTATTATTTATCATTTTAATTTATACAGTTTTATTATTATATAATGATTGATTTATATTTTTTAATAATAGATATACAACAGAAAATACATATTTTTTTTATTAAACAGGCTAATGATAATTATAATGAGATTTTAGTAATAATTAAATACAAATATTAACATATAAGTTTATTTAAAAAAAAATATTCATAGTTTATAAGATCATATATATAATAATATTATTATATTTAAAATATTTACATTATTTATATTTTATATATATATATATATTTATTTTAAAAAATATTCTGAATAATATAATTGTTCATATTTTTTTATTTTAAATAAAAAAAATCTTAATAAAAATATATATGAGTGTATAACAATAAAACATTATACTTTTTTTTTATACATTAAATTTAATTCAAAAGTCAAGTGTTTTATTAATAGGGTTCTTTTAAGTAAGGAATTTTTGTGAAGTCAAAGTGTGAATATTTATTTATACTTTATTTTATGTAGTAACTTTAAAGAAAAATTAAACTATTTTAATAATTATTTAATTTAAAATAATAAATAATTTGTTATTAATATAAATAATTATTTTAAATAATATAATTTCTATCTATATATAAAAATTAAATAAACAAAATAATAGAAAAGCAATAAAATATATTTTTTAAATATTAAATTAAAACTATATTTTATATATATATAAAAAAAAAGTTAATTAAAATATATTGCACTATATTAAAAATATAAATAAAATAATTATATAAATATTGTTTAAAAAAAAAAAATATATATATATATAATTATATTACATTTCTTATAATTTTTATAATTTTAATAAGATAGTAGATTTTTATTTCAAATGTATTAAATATATTAAATATATTTAAATGTAAATTTTTTTGAATTTAAAAATATTAGAAATTAAAAAATTAAAGAAAGATGTAAAAACAATAAGTAATAAATGAGAATAAAAATAATTTTTTAAATGCTAATTCATTGAGAGAAAAAAAGAAAGAGAAATTAAATTCAATTAATAAGAAATTTTTATAAGTAAACTTCGAGACAATATATATTCTTTTAAAATTAAAAGTAAATTCATATGAGATGTGTATTTTTCAATTAATATTCAGTTTTTTATTTTTGATTATTTCTAATTTGTATGATTAATCTGAATTACTAATTAAAAACTATGATTTAAGTTCAAATTCAAGAATTCTTTATTTACTAAATTCCATAAAATATATAAATGTAAACTATTTAATGTAATTATCTGAATTCGGCTTTTCCGTAATATCAATTGGAACTATTTTTTATATTTTGTCTGTTAATTTTTTGTATTGGGTTTGTATTTTCGTCAGAATTATAAATAAAAAGATTAAACAAAGAAAATATTTTTATGGAAAATTATTTTGTAATTTAATCCATTATTATACTTTTGTTTTATTTAGACCTTTTTGTTAAATATTATTTACAATAGTATTATGTAGTAAAAGTGTAATGAGTAACATGGATATTAAATGTTCATAAGAAGACATTTTATATGTATCTTTATTTCTTTTATCGTGTTTTTGCTTAATTTTAATTTTAATTAATTAATGGTGGATTTGTGTGTACTTTGTTAATAATAAATAATAAAAGAAAGATGTTATGTGTATAGGAAAAGATCCTTATTTTGTATTTAAATATATATTTTTTTAGTTTTTAACAGTTTTAACTAATACAATAAATATAAGTGATTATGAATTTATGATTTTTGATTTATGTTTTAAGTTAATTTTTTCTTCTGTTCTATATTATTCTCTTTGTTTTAGATTATCTCGTTTTTGCTTTGCTAATTAAAATGTTTAGTAGTTATTTAATATAGGATTTTCTATAGTTCTTTCTTAGTATTATGCTTTTGCAACTGATGAATTAGCTAGAGTGTTAAATGTTTTTCCTTAAAAAGATGAATATATCCTTGAGTGGATTTTCTTTTATTTTTTTCTTTTTAACTTTATAAATTCTAAATTCAGGTTCTACTTTATTGAAAAGAAAGTTTTAAACCCTTTAATATAAAATTTATCAAGAAATTAACTTTTATTAAAAATATGCTTTTTGTAAACTTTAGTTAAAGAAAATTTAGATGTTTTAACCGACGCATTTTTTAAAGGAATAATACATAATCATTTATAAGGAAATTGTTTGCATGATAATTAAAGTGAAGTATGTTTTTGTTAATTGTAGTAACTTTATATTGCTAAAAATAAGAAAAGTTGTGGAATAGATAAGGCATTTAAAAAAAGTAATACTATTTTTTTTACTAAATTTTTGATTAAAAGTTGGTTTGAAATTAATTTGTAAAAAAATCAAAATAAAAATTTTGATTTATATTTAGATTATGCAGAACTCATTTTTTTTAAATTTTAAAATATTTAATTTTGTCTCAAAATATTGGTTTTGCTCTAAAATAAATTCCTTTTTCCAAGAAGTTAGTTTAGATTCTTCATTTTATATTAATAAATCCTTAAATATAATCGAAAAAAGAATAAAGAAAGCTATAAAAGCAATTTAGAGATAGAGTCAGTTGTTTAAGTTGAATAATCAATGGAATATATTTAATTTAAAATAAGATCTACAGTTTTGAATAATATTTAATTTTGGTAATATTTAGAAAGAGCAAATATTAATTATAATGAAATTAATTAAATTATTGAATTCACATTTTATTAATTGCTAGAACTAAAATAAAAATGGGTTGAAATTAGAAAGTATTTAAGATTTAGAAAAAAATGGATTTTTTATTTTGCTTGGTATTATTTCTATATCCTAAATAAAAAAGTAGCGTAAAAAACATTTATTAATTTATTTATTTTTTTTTAAAAAAAAGCTCAAAATCTATATGTTGGAGAAATTTTAAGGGACAAAAATTAATGAAAACGATATTTTTTCAGAAGAAATTTAAAATGATTTATAAGATGATATTTAAAGTATTGGCTCAAACTTAAAATTTGAAGAAGTAGAAAATGTTAATATCAAAAATTCTATTGTTGCTTTTGATAAAAACTCTTTAATTATTAATATTGATTAAGATTATAAAGGAAATATTAAAAAAGTTAATAGAACAAGTATTAATATTATTGGCTATTCTTAGAAAGAATTAGAAGGAAAAGTAAATATTCTTTAATTAATGCCAAGAATTTTCGCTGAATATCACTATTAACAAATGTAAGTTTTCACAATTACAGGTATATAATTAATTATATTTAAAAAATGGATTATTTTAATGTTAATATTTTTTTTTAAAAAAAAAAAAAGGAAAAACTAAATCACTTTATTCTTAAAAAAAAATCTTTTGTTTAAATAAATTAGGATATATATTTCCAGTTTGGAAATTCGTGAAGTAATATGTAACTTTAAATTGTAAATGTGACTATATAACTATGATAAGACCGGTAAACTCATATACAGGAAGATAATTAAATTATATTATTTTAAATGAAAATTGGGAAATAGATTCTATGTCTTAGATATTTTATGAAATTTTAGGTTTTTATTTATATTTTTTATATTAAAAAACAATATAAAATTACAGGAATTAATCCATTACAATATTAAAACCCAGATAATAAAATCTGCTTAAACCTACTTATTTTAGCACCAAAACTAATTTAATTTACTAAGTTTTAAAAGCTTTAGACAAAATCAGATGATAAAATATTCGCAGCAAATGATGTTAATAGAGAATAATAATAAAGCAATCCTATATTTAATAAAAGAAGAAATAATTTAGCAAGTTAAGTAAACAAAATTGATACTTAAAAAGGCTTTAGCAAAGAATAAGTTTTAGATTAAAGTATAAAAAAATAATTCGATGATAAACTATAAGTAATAGAAGAAATTTAATAAGAAGTTGATAATAATTCAACAATCTTTTTATCTCCACAATTATAATTAAAAGATACAAATTTTAACTAAGGTAAATCAAGTTTATTAGCAAACAAATCTGAAAATACAGAAAACTATAAACAAATAGATAATACTATTTAAAACTAATCTTTCGGATTACTAATTAATTAGAATAAAAATGGTTTGAATGCATTTAAAAAAGGGATATAAAATAATAATAAAGCGAAATAATTATAATATGTAATGAGCTAAAGTATTGGAAATCATGATGAAAATAATTTTAATGAAAATAATAAAAATAATGAATAGAAAATCTTTAGTTATGATAATGAGGAAAATGTTAGTTTTAAAATTATTAAATCTTAACATATTAATAATATTTCTAAAGAATATTATAATTTAATATCTAAATTAAACAAAAGTATTAATGATGATAATTTTTTTTATAAAAATATACAAATACTAAATAGTTAATATGAAATTTCTATTTATAATATTATAAAGCAATTATTTACTAAATATTAAAAATAATAAAATAATATCCTTTATCTTTGTTAATGTAAAATAAAACTTAAAAAAATAGGTATTAGTTTTTATTATTTTTTAAAAATTTTAAATATTTTTATATAATTTTAAAATAGGAAGCAAAGATATCTTTATTTTAAAGTTTTCCAAAATAGAATAAATTAAAAATAAAAAATAAGTGATTTTAGATAATTTGAAATATTTAATAAATAATAGTAGCATTAATAATGAAGAAAGTACAAAAATAAATTTTATTTTTTTAAAATTTTAATTATTAAAAAATAACAAAAGATAAAGATAGTAAACATTAAAATTATTTTTCTTAAATATCATGTAAAAAAGAAAATGATGAATAAAATATTAAATCAATGAGAAGTTTAGATAATGAAGAACCCATATATAACTAAAAAAAATAAAAATACAGTGGATATTAAATAAAATAATATAAAGAAAAAGATTAGGAAGAATATGAAAATAATTCGGATTAAAAATTAAAAGAATTTCAAAATGATTTTCGTAGTAAATAAGGCGCAAAAAATTTTAATCTACATCAAACTAATAATATATATATAAAAGAAGATAACCATAAGCCTAATAAATAAATACAGTCTATTAAGATTATGAAGATATTTTTAAGGTCCTTTATTTTTTTTATAATTAGTTTGAATTTTTTTGTTTTTTTTTATATACCACATAAAGAATTTCCAACATTAAAAAAAAATAGTTAAAAAATATTTGTAATTTAAGAATTTATATTGAATCTTATAATTATTAATAATAATATAATAGATTTGGCTAATTTAAATGAAAAGTTTTATGAGAAAAGCTTAAATAATAATAAATTTTATAATAATGTAACCTATTTTAATTTAAAATATTAAAGATTTAAATCATTAGTTAATTATTTTTAAACTATTAAATAAACTATAGATTTTAAAGAAATTATTTATTCAAATAAACTTAATTAATATCAAAATATAGTTTATTAAGTTTAAGGTAATAACTTATCTGAAAATTAAAATACTATAGATAATTATGATTTATTAAATAAATTTATTAATTTAATGTATAATCTAAGTATTTAAAATGAAAAAGTTATTAAATATAGTAAATACGAGGTTAAATTTATGAGAGAAAATACATTTCCTCATATATATGGAATGTTCGAATCAATTTAAAACAATATAATTAGTTAGTTAAACAGCACAGCAAATTATTTGTATAACTTTTTAATTATAACTATTATTTTTTAAACATGTGTTATTTTAGTTTCTTTTGTTTTTCTTTATTCTAATATTATTAGAATTTTTAATACTTTTTAGTCCATTATTGATGTAAATACATATTATTATTATTTTTTAAAAAATTAAAATAAAAGGTTTTTCCTAAAATAAACTAAATAGATCTTAAAAAAATATAAAACTATAATATGAATATAATATATAATTTCGATTATATATTATAAAAGGATAGCTTAATTTGCGGACTTGAAATAAATTAAAATGAATAAAAGCAATAATAATAATAAAAATTGAATGCATCATAATGCAATAAAACTCTGTCAAAGATAAAAATTAAAAAAAGGGATACACTTTAGTTTGATTTAGAAGTACCATTAGATGGTAATCAAAATATAGCAAATAAATCAAAAGAAATAACTTATGGAAAATTTCTCTATAGTTTTAAATTAAATGTTTTTATTTTGTATTCAATCTTCATTATTTTTCTAGTTGGTTCAACTACTTTTTTTTTATTAAGTAGTTTAGAAGGTTCTTAAAACTTATTAATATTATTAAGAAATGGAGATATATTTATGGGTAATTTAAGTAATAATTTAATCATAATGCTAGGTATAAAAGAAAAGTTAACTGATCCTATAAACTATACAAATGTATTTAAAAATAAAATTTAACATTAAATAGATTATTTTATTAATAATAACAAATAATTAAACGTTTAAAAAATTAAAAACTCTAATTTTGATTAAATTTGTTAAGAAATTTATTATGGGGATGCTTGCTATTATTTTAGCATTATTCATGTCAATGCTACTGCAGACTTAGAGGAATGTTAATAAGTTGCTATGTAAAGCTTATAAAAAGGAATAGCTAGTTTTTCTTAATTCTATAGAAGTTTATATTAAAAGTATATTAATAATTAAGAAGAAAACAATGAAAAATTTAGTATTAGATAAATGATTGAGTATGATAGAGGCATTTACTTTTCTGATGAAGTGACTGTTTATTTAATTAAAGAATGGAGTTTGGATACTATAAATTATTTAAATAGTAATTTGAGTTTTCTTATTTTTTATATATCATTGATGCAATTATTTTTAATTATTTCTTATGTCATTATTATTGAAACTCTAGTTATTGGTAAATTTAGTAAAAAATATTAATATTTTAGAAATGTTTATAAAATGTTTATGCCTGATATTATAATTTTTAAAGAAAAAAGGATTAAATTTTGGTTAGTTAAACATAATGTCTTAAATAACAATTGAAAAATTTAAAATAATATATAATTTTATAATAAAAAAATGCAAATAATATTTTTGTCTTTGAATTTCATTTGAATATATTAAAACATTTAAATAAATATTTTTAAACTTTAAGATTTAAAAAAATTATAAATAATAATTTATATAAAAAGTTATTGTATTTCAGCATGTTTTTAATTTCATTTTATATGATTTGTTTAATTTTATATCAAATATTTTTTTTATATAATATAAACATGATTTTTATTATAATAACTTATATTTTTTATATTAATTATAAAATTATACCTTAAATTTTTAATAAAAATAGAAAGAATAATCGAAATAGTTGATGACTGTATAAAAAGTTCTGTTACTAATTGTAGTTTAAATATTTGAATATTTTTTTATGCACTAGTTATAATAATATTTTAGAATAAAATTTATAATTAATGTTTATAAATACTTCTTGAAAATTTATTATGAAATAATATATTTTTATCGGAATTGTATATTATATTAAGATTATAATATAATTGATAAATTATTTTAATTGAAGATATAAGAATATTATATATTAGACTATATATATATTAATATTATCATATTTAGAATAATTTTTTAAAAATAACTTTATATAAAATGATATAAATATTTTTATATAAATTTGTTTAATTGGTATGAAAATTATATATCAAATTTGATTTTATTATTTGTAATATACATTCATTATTTACTTATGCTTTTTTTTGAAGTATCTAATTAATATCATATTTTTTGTTTAATTGCAATTATTTAATTATTCGTAAATATATATAATTTAATTATTAATTAAAATTGCATCTTTTAAATGATTTTTCAATTATTATTTTAATTTTAATTAATATAAAATTACTATTTAAATATAATTCATTATTTATTTATTTTCTAGAAATCAATAATTATTGAATTAATTAAATAAACTAAGATAATCATAATAATATATAATATTTCAATATAGTTTATTGATATTAATTTTTTAAATTATCTAAAACATTTCTTGTGATACTATCAAAATATTTTTTTATCTTATTTAAAAGGTTTAATTTAATCATATTGACTACATTCTATTTTTAAAAATAAAAAATGGCAATGGTACTTACAAAAAAATCTAAATTAAAATTATAAAAAATAAATAAACTCTAATATAAGAAAGTAAATAATTTTCTATTATATATATATATATATATTTTTTTCTACAAATATTTAGTAATTTTTAATGTGATTTGTATATAAAAAATAAAGTTATATAATCTCCAAAATTTTTCATATCAAACGCATAAAAACCTAAATAAATATTATTAAAAGTTTTTTGTTGCTATACAAATAATATAAATCTAAAATAATTATTCACTATTAAACGTAATTATAAATTTATATATATGAAAGCTTTATTATAAGTAAAATATCTAATGTTTTAGTTCCAATTTATATTTCATATTATATAATTTCTTTAAAAAATTAATATTGGATTTTATAGAAAATAATTAGTTTTTTATTATTCTTTTAGGCTGTTTTTATCAAATAATTATATATTAGTTAAAATAATAGATTGCTAATATTGAAATATTAAATCAGTTTCATTAAAAAAATTAAATTTTAATCAGTTTAGAAAAATCTACTTTACTAAATTTTATAGTTATCTTCATATTAATATTTTTCATATATTTGTTTGTTAATTATTATTTTAATTTGACTAGGATAGTTTTTTTTAACATATAGTTTTATTTTCAAAAGAATTTACAAACTTTCTATAATTTTAATTGCGAAATTTATTTTTATTTATTAAATAATCTAAAATGAAGATATTTTCTTTATTTTTTTTTAAGGATTAATTAATAAAATGATTTATTTATATATATTTATCATATTTTAATATAATTTTTCTTAAACACTTCAAATATATATTGTTGTTTATGTGGATATGTAAAAATTTATATTTGAAATAAATAATAATAGTACAATTACTACTTTAAATTATACATGGATATTTTAAAAATTGTCACTATAATTAATTATAGACAAAATATTTTAAATGTAATATTATATCATAAAATTTTATTATAAATAAATATTTTAATTGAAATAGGTTAATTACATAAACAGATAATATATATATAAAAAATTAATCTGTAAACTTTATATGAATATAAATAAGATTTCTTATATATTAAAATATTCTTCCAAAAAATTAATAAACGAGATATTTTTATTAAAAAAAAATATGTTTTAAAGTTAAACAATAAAAAATAAATTTTAATAAATAGTATAAATAAAAAATAAAAAACACTTCATATAAATAAAAATTTATTTCGTATAAATTACTAAATAATTATTATTTTTATATAAGATAAAAAGAAAAAAAAACAATAAAATAAAAATAAAATATAAAATAAAAATGTAAATATATTCATAAAGATAATTTATTATGAAAAGATAAAATTAAAAATTATAATATGATTATTTTTAATCGGTAATCGGTATTAAATAGTAGAATAAAATTGACTACTAAAAATAGAAAGTAAGATAATAAAATAATTATTTTAGTTGTTGTTGTTGATATTATTATTATTATTATTATTATTATTATTATTAATATAATTTTTTAATTTATAATTAAAATATTAAGTATATTTTATATTTTATCTATATATCGAATAAATAACAAAATTATATTAATATTTATAAATAAAAAATATAATTTTTGAAATATTATACTTTTTATATGGATTTATTAACTAATAATATAAATTAATAATTTTAAAATAGTGTTTCAATAGTAAATACTAATGATATTAATATTTCTAATTAATTTATACATGATTTTTTATTAGAATTTGATTAAATTAATTTATAAATTTAATTTTAAAACATATAAATAATTAATTTAAATTTTAATCCTTCATAAATAAAAGAATTTATTTAACAGGAATTTTAATAAAATCTACTACAATTTAATGATAATAGGTTATTTAGCTTTGACTTTCAATAAATTTATATTTATTAAAAAATAATTGAAAACTAAAAAAAATTCAACATTAAGATATTTAAAATATTAGATTCTAACAAATAAAATAATTATTAAATTTTAAATCTAATATAACTAAAAAATCTTAATATATATTAATTTTAATAAGAATAGTATATTATAGTAAGTATATAATTTAAAATACCTTAATATATAAAAGAAATATAAGAAAATAAAATAAATTTAAAAGATCTTGTTTAATTTTTAATATAAAGTATTTTAAATTTACATAATCAATATATTGTTCATAAAAACATAAATAAATAAAATATTTGCATCATATAATAAGAAAATTTTTATTTATTAGATTTTTAACTGTCTAGTTATTAATTAGAAAAACATTTATTATAATATGTTAAAGATTCAGATTCTTTAATATATTCCGATGGTAAAGATTACTTTAAACAAGATATTTTTGATTTAGGTTTACTTTTGAGGGAATTTATAGGAAATATAGAAAACATTAATGATTATATTTTGAATTATTAATTCTATATAGGTATATTAGCTGGATAAATAATAAAATATGAGATAGAAAACATTTTATTTTTAATGCTTTAAGAAGATTATAATAAGCGTATTTCTTCTTTAAATCTTGCCATGATAACTCAATAAAATTAAATATTTTTAAAAAATATAAGTTATTCTTATTCAAAAGAGTTTCCTCCTGAATTTAATTTAGATGAAATTACACATATAAAAACCCTTAAATTTACTTTTAAAGGAGTCATACAAACTGAAAATGTTGAAAATAAATCAAAAATATATAAAATATGTGAAAATGTTTTAGTCTTTGAAGGGTATCTAGATTATTTAAGAAGACCTACATAAAATTGTAAATTAAATTTATTTTAAGATTTTTGGATTTAAGGTGAGTTTATATAAGGATAACCATATGGAAATTGTATTTTATATTAATAATAAGAAGAAGTATTATAAGAAGTATTTTATAATTTTTTACGTAGAGATTATTTAAAAGAAAAATAACATCTATAAGAAATATTGATAGAA